CACTTCAGAACTCAGAAGTTTTTTTTTAATCATAATCTTTGCTTGAAGAGTTAGGCATCATTTGACAAGTCACTAGTATTAGACTGTGATAATTAGGCATTGTCTGATGAAATTTGCATTAAGACTGATCAGCAGCTTGAAGATTTGTTCATTAAAGGTGTTACAAAAGTCTAAGCTAGAGCATACTCTAGACAAGCTGGGTATGATTACCATCTCTGCTCAGCTTGAGGGGGAAGCTATATGTTATTTTTCAGTTTTGGGGGCAGATTTTATTACTGTTTTCCATGTTTTAGTGGGAAGTTATAGGAGTATTTTCCTTGCTGTACATGACTAGGGGTATGCTCATCTTTTTGGTGTATTATGAGGTAATATAAATAATAGGAGGCTGCATGCCCCACACTTTTTCCCTCTCAAAACTTGTGTTTTCTTTTCTTTCTTCTACTTTTCTTCCTTTTTCTCTTCTAAATTAATACATTCACACTATAAATCTACAAGAAAAATTAACAAGCATCTATAAAACAGCCTCTGGTCCAATACAGAGATGTCATCAAAATAATTTTTGATTGATGCAGCTTGGATAACCTTGGGAATTAAGGGCATCTTTTATTGGACCCCAAGATCTGCCAACAGTGTAGCTGATGCATTAGCAAAAGAAGATGTAAACAGGAGCCAATTAAAAAGCCAGTACACATGATGCATTTTCCCAGGCAATCAACTTATTCATAAGCATCTTGATAAAGGAGCCAAATAGTCAAATTTTCAATTTTTTGGGTGTTCATGTATTTTCTGTATGTTTAGACAGCAGGACATTTAGGTCATTTTAAATGTCTGCGGGGTCCAGTTTTGTAGCTTGATTTGTCTAGCTATAGTTAGTTGTATTTAAAGTTTCAAATCCATTGGCTAGCCATTTGGAAGTTAATATGTTTCCTTAATTTCAATGTTTCCTAGTTCTAAAGTGTCTATATAAAGGTGTGTAACAAAATATCAGTATATGTATGTATTTTGAGTAAAACATGTGATGATTGATCTTGGAATGAGTCTGTATTTCCTAGTTCTTCTCTCTAATTTTGCAAACAACCATTACAATCGTTGACAGCTCTTAATTACCAAAAAAAAAATCATTGACAGCTATCAAATTCTTCAACCAAGGAGTTGATTCAGCATCTCTAAAGGATTGAAATTGATCCAGGTACATTTAATCTTCAATTTACACCAAAACCAAAAAAAATCTTGCTTTGGCAGTTTTCATCCTTTTTTTGCCAAATTACTTCCAACTGCCCTCGTATTTGGACACCCCATATAGATCTTCATAATGTTAAGTCTACCAAAATTTATCCCAAATCTCCACCTGAAACTCTAGATTACCTAAATTTTGAGTTTTTTTTTCATACCACAGAATTTCTGTCCTCTTGTACAAAATGCAATTCAAATCATACCAAACTCGGTCACCCTAGACAAACCTACATATACAGTTTCATTGAAAATTCCAATGCTGAACCTATTTTCTCTAATTTGAAACTTTTCACAATTTTGTAAATGGCGACAAATCTGTAATTATTGCATAAGCTCCAAGACTTCTCTTAACCTAACCAATCCTTGCTTTTAGTCCTAAAATCACCTCTAGGCTCATCCCAATCTACCCTAAACTCATCTTTCAGTCATTCAAGTCCCACACTAGTATGGTATTTAGGACTACCAACCACCTTGGTACAACATAGATAGGTGATAAGTGTTGGAAGCACTTAGATTTAATGACAAGTTCCATACCGTTTTGGTCTATAACTGTTTTGACTAATGACTAAGCTGTCTAGATAATTATTCCAAAACCAGATCAAAAGTAACTAAGTCAGAATGCTAGTTATTCAGAGTTCAATCAGATTAAGGCAGAATACCCAGATTAAGTTAATGCAAAAATCACCTATCTAAAAACAAAGTTAATGCAAAAATCCTGTAACTAATTCCACCTACAGTAGCTTCTTTTGTTGAACAAGGAACAAAAACTGAAGTGGCTTGTCAGGCTAGAATTGCAATGACAAATAAAATAGTCACAGAATTGGCTGACATGCACCTAAAATGAACAGAACCTTGAAAGTAAAGTTGAACAACTGACAATAACTAAGCAATTGAAATCATGAAGATAACAACAGAAAAGGTCAAATGGCTTCAAGCTGCTAAGAAAAATAATTTCATCAAAATAGAATATGATATGGGGTATTCTTGTAGCTCAGAAATCAAAGAGTCTAAACTTAAAAAGCATTCACACTGGCTGAGGGTTGGGGGTTAGGACAGTTCAAAAGGTTAACATAACTCTCCTTGGGCAAATGGTTCTGACATTTCAGTACTGAACTGGAAAGTCTGTAGAAACAGATTATATCAAGCAAATATGGAACATAGTCAAGACAACAACTAGGCAGGCACCTAGTTGATGAGGCCCATGGAGGGTCACCTCACTTAAGCGCCTAGCTATTTCTTATATGGCACTATAAAATATTTTTGTATTCTTTATTTTTCAGATTATAATAATAAAATAGACATTATTACACTAAATTATTCATTTTGTGGCTTAATAAAGTGTTTTCTTTTTATTATTTTCTTATTCATTAGGGTTCAATCAACACACACATTGGTGTATGCTGTCTTGAACCCTTGGAGACTTCAAAACTTGAACTGATAGGCAAGGAAGAACTTAAGATTTTGTCCAATCAATGCATTCTTCACCACAATATTTTCTGAATTTTCTTTTCTTTCTTCTTTTTCTTCTCACGAATTTGTTGATTTTCTATGTTTTAATATGAACTTTATACCTTTTTTATGAAGATTATTGATAATTACTAATGAAAGTTTACCAGTTGCTATGGAACTTAGGGAATTACCCTAGGATTTAGGGTGTGCCACCTTCTCACCTAGTCACACCTTGGGGCCTTGAAAACTATGATTTGGAATGCGACCCTGGTGAGGTGAACACCTCATATGGCAGTGCAGTGGAGGGGAGTACAGAAGGATCATCAGCTTTTTCAAAGTGGAGTCAAGTTTGAGGTTGAAAATGGAGAAAGGGTGAGGTTTTGGAAGGATGTGTGGGTTGGAGAGTAGCGTTTTAGTACCTCTTTCTTCTCTTTTTGCAATAGCACAAGACAACGAAGTGAGGGTGGTGGAGTGCTATAAGATACACAATGATGAAGCAACATCATGTCCTGAGTTCAGAAGGAGTTTAAGTGATTGAACAATTGAGTCTTTAGTGGAGTTTGCAGCTTATCCAAATTGTTACAACCCCAACCAGCGGTAGGCAACAGAAGAATTTGAGCTTTGGAGAACTCGGGGACATTTTCTGTGAGGTCAATGTTTAGGATGTTGGAACCAATGGAAGTTGGGCTGTATCCCAGCCATAAAGTCTGGAAGGTGGGAGTGTCATCCAAGGCAGTGTTGCATGGACTCTCCTAAATTGACAACCTAACATGTCGGACATACATCCAAGTCCAACACTCCATGGATTCTTGAGGGCACTTCTACATGACATTTCCTTTTTATCTCCTAGCTTATTTGACATAAAAGAACAGATGATCTGCAAGATGAATCCATTTTTGTATCAAAATTCAAATGTCACTTRGTAACAAAGGGCAATATCAGCAGAAGAATCATGGGGGTAGATAATGATGTATGTATAGGTATTTAATGTTAGAATCAAGAACATGAATTGTTTAAATATTATAAACTTTTCCATGGACAAGTCTGCAAGTCCATGTTTTCATCTCTTGCTAAGTCAGACTCTTGGACACACATCGGATTCCAAATCCCATTTCTATGTCCATGCAACACTGAAAGGTTGCCTTTTTAACATGGAAAGAATCAAGGGAGCGGACAATGATGTATGTGTGCCTTATGATTCACATCCAGAATCAGGGAATCGCATTTTCCTACGCTGACAAGGAGATAGCAGGTGTGTTTGGGTTTATTTGAGGTAGGAGTATTTTGGACCCTTTGGACCGAATGGAACAGTTGAATATTCGATCATAAATTGAATCCAAAGGGGAAAATGTTTGGTAGGTTATACTCATGGCCACTTGTTTATAAAACTTTTAGGGGGATTAAGTAAACTCTTTTTCAAAACATAAGTTAAACAGAGTGCATAACATCTCATAGATCAAGTTGTATATCCCTGTATACAATGATTCAGTACTGTATACAGGGACATTTGTAATTTTATCTTTTCAGTTATTCAATTCAATACTTTAAACTTTTCAACCAAAAAAAGATGGCGCCTCTGGGATTTGTTGTATGCAAACATGCCAGGTACCATTAAGGGGAAAGATATTACCCCAAGTTTTTGTGTCATTTTTCCTTTCTTTTTTTTCTTTTTTGCCGGGGGAGGGGGGACAGTTAAAAGTCCATTACACGATGTTGGTCATAGCCATCTGGGTGGTCTAGGGAGAGGTGGACTGAATACAAACCTAACCTTTTGGCACTTGGTTGCACAAAGAAAGCGGCTGGTCCCAAACTCGAACCAGCGTTCTCACGCTTGCCGAGATTTTAGCTGAACACCAAGTAATAGCCCCTTTTTGGGGGGTTGTACTCCAAATTTTCAGAATTTTAAAATTGCTATTGATGACTGTGCCATTCTACGATTCCTATTATAACCCTTCATCTTTCTTAAATTGAATTTTCAGGAATCAAAGTAGAGCAGTATAATTGTAATAAGATTTCAACCAGAAAGACTAACGCCTAAGGAAAAGCTAAAAAAACTCAAAACATAATTACTAACAACCTAATAAGGCATGAAATTTTCAGTATAATAATTCAAGAAGAAAAACGAAGAAAAAAGGGGAAGCAAAAGAATTGACATGGGGATAAATAGTTCCAACTCGACGCGATAGCAAATCAGCAACGAACATGGATTGTTTCATACTATTAAAAAGGAAAAATAGAAACTGATATTCAACATGACCCCTAGCGAATAAACCAGTTAAATATATACATAAAAAGATCAGGGAAATTGAAATGCGTACAGTAAAATCGATGCCGGGGTGATCCGAGCTCCAGAAGATCTCGTGATCCACAACAACAAAGTTTCCGGAAACAGAATCACCTTCGTAGAGCACGTACTCGTACACGCACTCAACGTCATTTACAGTAATTGAAAGAGCGGAAAGATGGCGAAAAAAGCTAAGCAGAAGCCCTAGAAACAGAAACATCTCCACGGATCCGAACCTCCTCCGCCCCATCGATTTCACGTTAATCTGATACCTCTTCGAGCTCTGAAACGAATATGGAGAGAGAGAGAGAGAGAGAGAGAGAGAGAGAGAACCAACTGTTATTTCGATCTGTTACAAATTTCTTAAGGTTCTAATTGGAGAGCTCCTCCTCTTCCTACGTTGAGTCAGAAAAGTCAGGTTACAAAATAGAAATAGAAACCAAAATAAAGAGAATGAGGGTTGTTTAGGGCAAATCCAAATTTAAACGGGGCACATCCCTTGTGAAAATACAAAAAATACCCCTGTTAAAATACACGAGTACATATGGATGGGGTTCCTCTCTTTTCAAAAGAGTGAAAAACTAAACAAATAACAACTTATATTCCGATCAAAACTATAAGGAAGGAGAATAAATAAAAATATGTAGAGTGAAAAATCTTGTATTTTTGTATGTATTTATACTGCATATTTATATTTGTATTTGTATTAATTTGGAAAGAGTATACATACAAATTGTATAGTGCACATATATACAAAATTCAAGGTTTTGCATTCTTACTCTTTTTAAATTGAGCCTAAGGCTGTGTTTAGTTTCAATGCAAATAAATTTGTACTGATACAAAATTATGATAGTGCAAATGATTTTAGTATAAATTCTGACCTGTTTTTGTTTTAATATTTTGTTTGATTGCAATACAAATGAAGTAAATTAAGACATGAAGCAGAATAAAGTAAAATCCAAAACAAGATTTTGCATTTGTATTAGTGCAATGCAACCAAACACAACCAAGGTGAAATTGTTGCAAATGTTGTATGAAATGACAAAATTTTCTTTCTATTAATGAATTAGTAGAAGCATGCCTTATAATTTATGAGTTGTTTAGTTCGATTGCTATTTATTTAATAATGTTTTCTACAACATTCATCTTGAAAAATGAGAAAAACGATTGAAAAATGTTTTTCAATGTTTTTCACAATTGGGCACTATTGCTATGTTTGGTTTGAAGGAAAAGGTAGGGAAAGGAAAGGAGAGGTATGAAAATCTATACAAAGTTTGTAAAGGTTTCCTTGTCTTTCCCTACTTTTTCCTTCAAACCAAACATAGTTAAATGTCACGTAAGCTCAAAGAAAAAAATGCCTTGGTGTTGAGGATTGTTAAAAAGAAGTTTCCCCAATAATGGCTCTCACACAAACTGAAACAAACGATTGAACCAAACGGCATTTCAACAATGTGGTCATGAGACTAGCACTGATTTTCAGATAACAACAATGGAATCAAACGCCATCCTAAGCATTGGAACGGAGAAACTAGGTCATGAGACTCATCTACATGATACGATGGTTATTATTATTATTTTTATGTTTTTTTTTTAAGCCATGATAAGATGGTTTATTGATATGTTATTTTATATGTTTTTTGATTTTGTTGTAGAATATGTTTTATTATTCAAATTAATTATTTTAGTTGTTTGTATCTTGTTGGTTTAAAATATTTTGATTTTTTCTTTGAATTTTTGTTTCCTTAACCGATATACTATTTTAGGTTACAACTGAGTATTTGTCTTGGTAAAATAGTGTAAGAGCAATAAAAGGATAAAACAAAATAAGTGATTTAGTATGTATTTGGTATAGCTTCCGTTTATTAAATAAATTTTTGTACTTTATTTGTCTTCAAAACCGAGAAAAGTATTTGATAAACCATTTATTGACAACTGAGCGCCATTAGGCGCCACATCAGAAGAACAGTGAATAAACGCTCAGTTGTTGGAAAAAGCTTTAAAATGAAATGTCCCCCAATGGTTGATGCGCACATAAATCAATATGATGGAATAAATGATGTTTTAGCAATGACATGACACTGTTTATCAAATAAATGAAAGCCATACAAAACACCGCCTTAATTTGTACGGCGTTCACAATAAAATATGTACTTCATATGGCATAGATAACATGGTATTAGAGGTGTAAATTGGGTCATGCTGCCCCCAACCAATACGATTTTGAGCCGGCCCGGCACAACACAATTGTATGGGTCATGTTAGGCCTGGGGTTGTAGGTCTATGGGCTGGCATGGCACAACACGACCGAGCAGGCCGTGCCTCCCGTGGCCCATCCCAACTTATAAAATATATATAATTTTATTATTGCATATATAAACAATTGTATACATAAAAATTCATAAAAAATAAAAATTTAAGATCTTTTTTTTTTATTTTTGTCTATTTTTAATTTATATTAAAATTTTCAATATTTCTTCAACATTTTTAAAAAAATATGGCTTGACTTGATCCACTGCCTGGCCTGGCCTAAGGCTCAACCTGCGGACCAGCCTGGCCAATGGCACGGGCCCATGCCAGGCTGACACCCCAAAATATCGCAAGGGTGGAAAGCAGAGCCGGATTGACACCTCTACATGGTATAAATAGATATATCGTAAATAAATATAATGGCGTTTTCTTGGTCTTTGTTGCATCTTTTTCTGCCATATAAATTATCCGAGTTCTACATGAATATGAAGAAAGAAACTCTACCTGAGCCAACACATTGTTTTGTTTTATTGTTATACAATAATATGTAATTTCAGATTTTGTGCTTTGTTTTTTTTTTGTATTTTTATATTTTAGTAACGTTTTTATTCATTATATCAAGACCACTGGATCAACCCAGTGGTCAGGCCTGTTTGACCTATGTCGCAACCGGTTCTGTGTCCCGTCCAAGTATCACAACATAGGTATTACTTTCCCAATTTGTATATTAAGGCAATTTCAATGCAATGACCATCTATCCCTGCATATTAAAATTGTTTCCCAATGCTCTTCGCAATTTCCCCAATGCACCATTCACTAATGATATAGAACCAGCCAAGAAACCCCTGGCAATTTTTACTTGCATAATCAATTCAAATCTAACGTCTCTTCCAGTGATGTTTTCCCTCAATGGTTGTTGAACCTCAAAGGCAAACCTATGTTAATAACCATTTTGTTCTAGTGTAGTGACAGGCTTACCGCTTCTGTCAAAAGAAGATTCAGACCTCCAACATCAGGCAATCAGGCCATCCCAAGTCCACTTGCCCATGTCTCCTGCTAAAACCGTGGAAAACTTAGGATCATAAAAACCAGAGTTGGAGGATTTGATCTTCATGCAATCTACCACATCGTTACATTGTAACAGTGTTTGATCTTTATGTCAAATTGTCAAGCAGAAAACTTGGATCATAAACCATAGTTGGATAATTTGTTTCAGAAAACATCAATCCTAATTCACTCTTTCTGAGCACGACAAAAATACAGCCAATTTCAACTATAAAGAGGATTGGAGATACCCAATCAAGTCAATTTAGGGAGCATTCATTCTCATAAAGACGGAAACCTGAAATTCATAGTCTTGCCCATAATTCTAATTACTTGAAACCTCACACCGAAGGTGTACACTGTACAGTGCTTCTTGGAGGAATCGGTACCATGGTCCACTGACTCCGTAGTAAATGTTCTTCACCCTTAAAAATTTGTAAAGGATCTCCGTCCAGAGAGTGGCATTCTTGGTTCTCCCAAAACTCTCCTTTCCATAACGCAACGCCAATGTTGAGAAGCAATGGTTTCTCCATGGAATCCTGAACCTTTACCCTCAGATGGGCCAGGGGGGGCAAAGGCCAGAGAGAGGGACAAAAGAGGTTGCCCAGGTAAATTGAACAGGGTAAGAACGTTACCACTTACCAGTAGATCAAATTTGGTTGAGCTTCAATATTTTCACCATACAGGATTGCACTAAAAACAACTTCACACCCACCTCTCTTATATTCCAGTTGCATCATTGGCCGCCTCCTCGAAAGAGGCAGACAGGCATTCAGCAAGGCTAGACTGCGAACTGAATTCATTGCTAGTTTCTGAAATTCTGGCCTTTTTCATATTAATTGATTTTGGAAGCCAAGATCTTAGAGAGTCGGGTGTATCTTGACAATTGGATAGAATTGGTCTCCTAATCACAGGCTTCAAGAACTTCCACGGATCATCCATCATGGATTTGTTGTAGAACAGCTCTGGCCTATCCCGTGCTGATACATAAGCATGGGAGCCTCGCCCTCTTCCTCTACCCCGTCCTGAACCATTACGAGGACTGTTGAAATGGTAATTGCAGCCTCTTCCTGAGCTAACGTTTGGGTTACCTCCCCATCCTGCTCGATTTCTGGGACTGTTGCCAAAGCGGTAACTACCACCTATGCCTGAACCAGGACTAGGGCTACCACCCCGTCCAAGACCAGGACTGGGGAAACCACCACCCCTTGGTGAGTTGAAGGGAAAGCCATAACCAGGCATGCCAGGAGATCTGTTCCGGGGCCCAGGAGTTTCTCGGTAACCAGGGAAAGGACTAGTCATTCCCATTGGGCTTCTCCAAGAATCAGGACCATGAAAGGCCATATGTGTTTCATTTGTCCTATGATCAGGGGAATTATTAGCCTGGAACTGATGAGCAGGAGACACAGACATGAATGGGCTCCTCGGACCTGCTGAAACAGAAGAATGACATTCAGACTCGGGTGTTAACAACTTCTTTCCATCTTAAACTATACAAATAAAAAAAAAAATTACATATTAATGAACAAAATAAATTAAACTTATAGTTCATAGAATGTGACTATGGTGCTGCACGTTCTGAAGGACTAAATGGGAAGATCCCAGCAAATCTGTTTAAAACACAACTTATATGCCACTATTTTGTTAATGCATAGTCTACAGAACTAGAAAAATCACCTCAGTAACCATGTTCTTAGGTCTCTAACTTTCATGCTTGTAAATGTTCATACCTTTCTGTTATAATGACAAATCCCTTATACATTAATTAGACAAGACATCCTGATTCCCCATTTCCCAAAATAACATTCCATCAACTTTTTGAAGGCCTTTGGCCCAAGACTTTCTGAGTAACAGGTATCTTGTAAGATATTGTCAGATTTTCAGTAAATTACAAGGCAACAAAAAGCTAAAAGTCTGGTCATAAAACAATCGCTATCAGATTTATGAAGAAGCCAAAAAATTAACAGGCAACTTTCTGCATTGACAATCAATCTAGCAAATCAGCTTTCTGCATTGTTGGCAACTTTGTTATACCTGAAGGAGATAATGATGGCCTAGTCATAGGAGAACCACTGCTAATAGAAGGTGAGGTATAACTTTGTGACATCTGGTTGCTGTTGCTCCTTCTCTTGTTACCAGAGAAAGCTGACATAGGGTCTGTGTAATAATCAAACCTCGAAACAACATGTGAATTTTCCTTGGCCAGTGGAGTTGCAGTTGGTTCAATTAATGGATTGGATAGGTACCCCTGTGCTGTAGAACTGTCAACCTTACAAGAATCTTCAGACTGAGCAGCCTCTAGGCGCATTGCTTTCAGCCTTTCTCTTCTCTTCTCTGCTTCCTCCATCTGATTTCAAGGTTGCCAAAAAGAAAGAATAGGAAAAAAAAAGTCAAAGCAGGCATCAGTTTGTGTATCCATGTTCAACCACACATGTAAATTAGAAATATCTTGGTAATGGCCATAGTTATCTCAAAGAAAATAAGACATACTTGAGTTCTTAATAAAAAGTAGGGATGCATCATATGAAGATTTTGCAAAAAATGTAGATTTTTTTCTGTCCTTTTATTTATTTCTTATTTTACAAAGGCTATACATGAAATCAAGAATCATACATGATATGTTTTGTAGCTAAAACCCTTCTAGTTTTCTCAAAGAAAGATAAAGAGCAAACTTTGCCCTTGCCCACATTCCTGCCTGTGTAAGGAGATAAAAATTCCATCTTATAATCATTAAGGAAGGAAGGTTACTATATCTCATTTGCGGCTAATAAAAAATATTCTTCTCAAAACAATAAGTAGCACTCAACCAATGTAAGTTGCTTGTTTCAATTGTAAGCTCATGGGGCATCAAACAATTAATCAAAACCAGTAATTAGTATTATCTGCATGATTTTGGACCAAAAATAAGTATCCCAACTTCCACAGACACAAAAGAAAAAAATGCAAATTTGCATGATCTCAAAATTGTTATGCAACATAAATTCTTTGAAGAATGATTACCAAACAAGAATTATTAAAAATTGAGATATTTTCTACCTTGATTACATTAATTGCATAAAAACAACACAGAGTAAGACCACATCCAACAATCACAAATAGAAATAGATTAACAAATATTTGGCGAGTTCAAACATATCAAGCAAATGCTAATCTATGTCATCGAACCAAATTAGAGGTCTTGACAAAAAATACAAAAACAAACAATTCCCGGATCAGCCCTTAACTAGATGGAACCCAAAAGATAGATAGGTTCTATCATCTCCACTTGAAAATAAGATAAATTGCTAATAGAACAAACTTGGAAATAAAAGGGAAAAATGAACTAGAACAACCTGGTTTGACATATCTGGTGCAAGATTGGAATATTTCATTTAGAATTACGTGATTTACAAACACACACACACACACACACACAGAGTTGTATCTCTGTTCAATGACTTTTTTTTTGTTGCAACATTCAGGTTGGAGGTTGATATCAGGGAAAGTTGCAGCCAGGCAGAAAAGCACAAGGGAGTTAGCAAGGCACATGAAAAAGTCACCAACTATCTTTTTCTAGGCTTTTGTTTTGACTCTTTCTTGGTACCAATAACCATGTAGTCTAGGTGATCAATTGGCATCTCCGCATCAAGGGAGCAAACCTGTGGAAAGGCAGGCCGCAGGCACTTTACAATACTTAGGGACTTGTGGCTGGACCAGATCAGACCTGGTACCTGGTATAAGGGACATCGTGCAATCCCAACCAGGCCAAACCAGCACAACTAACCTAAAATCTGGGCCAAGATGCAGTCCTAAAGGGGCATTCTGGTCACATTTACCAGCATGTGCAGTTTCATAAATAAGTAAAATAGAGGTTAGAACCTCATATTCTTGGATCTCTCAATATTTCTTCTCTTCTCTTCTCTCATTTCCTTCTCTTCTATTCTAATTTCTTCTAAGTCTGAAACTGATTATATTAGAAAATCATACATTATCATCATCACCATCATCTAAGCCTTATCCCAACCATACAGGGTCAGTTACATGAATCCTTTTAGGATTCAGATTACAATTACATTAGAAAACTAAACAAGTTTTGGAAATTCCAGTGCCTGTAAGAGGAGACAAGTTCTTGAAAGTAGGAGGGGATATACTGCATAAAGATTATATAAAACTTGTTGGACGCAAGGTTCTAAGTATCCATACACCTTTGTGTATCGGCAGAGGTGTATTGGTACTTTAAACCATGCTCCTTTCAATTTTTTTTTCCAAATTTCGGTTTTATATTTTTATATTTATTATTCACTAAAAAATTGGGTACCTGTAAACAGGTGTATTGGGTACCCAAAGATACGATACGATATGCCTGATACAGGGCGTATCGTATCAATGCTTCGAAACTTGGTTGGACGTATAACATATTGATGAGAGCATGCATTCAAATGCATAAATGTGCTCATGCACATGCATACAAACACCATATACAAAGGAAAAATATAGAGAGTATACATGAACATTGCAATGGTAATATAATTCAGACACTGGATATTGCTTTAGTTTACTCCATTTCTCAAGATAGGTGGGATATAACTAAGAAAAAGAATCAGCACAGCTCTCCATGTCCAATCAAAGTCAAGAGACATAGAAGTTTGGCAGTTTGGTTAGTAGTTCTAAAATCTGTTGCAAACCTTCTTTTAATTAATTAAAAGTTCTTATATGAGCTTGAATAAACACATTTCTGACCTGTTTCAGATTTTAAATTTCTTACATCAAAATGTCTCTATTGCAAATTTTTTCAAGTTTCTTAAGTTAGTATATGTTGTGCTTAACAGATTCTAATATAGAAACGTCGAGACCTCTTTCAACCTTATCCTGAAGCATGAAAAAGTTGCCTTTCGAGAAAGTAATTCTGTTCAACTCTGCTTTTCATGATGGTTCTCTAGAGGTATATCCATGCAAGAAGAGTATTCTAATGATGATAAGAAAGTATGCCAAAATGACGTGCTACCTATATATACAACTACAAACAAGCAGAGGCTCATATACATCATATACAGCTAAGCCCTCAATTTTCATTAAAAAAATGATTAGCCAATCAACACGGGAACAATAAAGATTCTGCAGTTATCATTTAAGTACTAAAGAGTGCCTACGTTTTGGACTTTAATGTTCATTGAAGATTGGTATGAGCCTAATGATTCAAGAAGAGGATGTGTAGCTCCTAATTATCCATGTTATGTTAATATTGTACTCTCTTGCCTCCAGTATTCTTTATTCAATTGTTTTACTTTGCTTCCTGATTATCAATCTAAAACACTAATTCTTGATTCCCCTGAACTTGTTACCCTTTCTTCTTGATTTTTCAACTTAAAATTTCATTTTAGCAATTATTTTTAAAATTCCTAACTATTTCTGGAATTAATTAGTAAATACAGGTCTCAAATACTGGAATCTGAAATCTATGAATAAATCATAGAATGCCAAGCTGAAACCMAAAGCAACATCAAAAAATAGATAACTTCAAATTGAACAAATTTGCACTTGTTCACCCTTCCCATCCTAGATATTCTTTTTTTCATTTAATAGTTTTCAGTACCACCTAACTTCAAATTTATACAAATTTGCACTTGTATATGGAAGAAGAACAGAGGTAAGAAAAAGCTAAAAGTGACCAAGTAATCAGCCAATCCGCCATTTAGCTTATGTATTTATAATGAAATAGACGCTCTCAAGATGTTGGAATTTGATCCATTTATAGTGCCCTTGGCATTTTTTTTCTTTTTTTGATAAGTTGTGTCTGGCATTTTCTGGACATGAATAACAGCGACAGTTGCTCCCCAATTCGAGGTAATACATGGAGTAAAGCAAATGTGATCAGAAATCAAAAGGTGATGATCCTCAAGAGACAACAGAAAGTGAGACTATATAAAATATTTCAAACCATATACAAGTAGTAACTTCAACTATGAATTCAACTTTTTTTAGAAGGATAAAGAAAAAAAAACTTTATTAAAATAAAAAGGGGATGAACACTTATCAAAAAATAAAAATAAAAAGGGGATGAAATACAACAGAGGTGAAAAGATATCACCAAAGAGAAAAAACACCCCCATATACCCAAAATAAACCAAAGAACCCACAACTTACAAACAACAAAAACCAAGCAAATACCCTGAACACACCCAAAACAGATCCTCAAAGAAACAAGGATCACCAAACCGACAACTGGCCCACATCGAAAATCCCCTTCCTGAATCGCCCCTCTTCAATCTTCATCTGTAAGAACATCTTCCTGGTCTCAGACATCCTCATCCCATCCTTTACTTCCTGCCGAATATGATTTTTTTTTCTTCAATTTCTCTTCCTTTTTTCTTCAACTTTGAAAGACAGAAAACCCAAGATCTGTGACTCGTACATCCTATCATTAGCAGAAGATCCCTCTTGATATATATCCTATGGTAGCTTATTCAAACTAATAATTCARATTCTGGATATATATCCTTTATCATTATGTTCTAAGATTTCGTAAGAAGCATATACTGATATACAATAGTTCAGCTTAAAATTTTAGTTCTCGACACATTTTGAGCCAAGCAGAACCATAACCTAATCCACATCATCTGTTTTGATCCCTACTAATTTCAGACACATTGGCAACATGTAATCGGCACAGGCCATATAGCCGGATATAGTAGGGTATATGAGAGAGAGAGAGAGAGCTCTAAATAAAGTTAATCAGAGGGAGAGAAATCTTGAGAGTTGAGAAAATAGATAGATATACCAGTTCGTTTAGATGAATCTATTCAAAACAAAAAAGAAAATACTTTGGCAGGAATGCAAAAAACCAAAGGGTAGTAGATTGGAAGCTTTCATAGAACTGACTTTATCAACATTAAACCACCCCCTTTTGAAACGTAACTTCTCTTCATGAAGCAAGTCTGTTCTCACACTTTCCAATCACTGGGTCCCAGAAGCTCACACACCTCGGATTTCCTCCTAAAGGCATACCCAAATACACTACCAGGCCAGTTCTCCACATTACAACCAAGGGCATGTAGTAATATGTGCCTCCAAGAATCGAATGGTATCATCAGCTAATTGCAAATGTGAGACCTTTATCTCATTCCTTCCAACAACAAAAGCACTCAGAAGATTCATCTGCTTTGCTTTCTCAATGAAATTACTCAAAATGTCAGTCGCAAGAGTAAATAGCAAGGGGGGTAAAGGGCAGCCTTATTGTAACCCTCTGTTGGATTTAAAATACCCTCCAGGCATATCATTTAACAAAAGAGAGAACCAAGCATTCATTATGCAACCTCCGATCCATTTCACTCACCTGCTACCAAAACCTTTTAGTTCCATTACCCTCTCCATAAGCAATCATAGTTCACCCTATCATAAGCCTTTCAAGATCAAGCTTCACTACAACTCCTGATCCACCACCATCTTCTATCATCCACACATTCAATGATTACTAAAACACAGTCAATGATCTGCGGCCCCTTAACAAAGGCAAACTGAAAAGGAGAAGTCATTTCACCTAGAACTGCCTTTAGTTTGCCCACCAGCACCTGAATTTTGGACTTTAAAGTTCATTGAAGATTGGTATGAGCCCGATGATTCAAGAAGAGAATGTATAGATCCTAATTATCCCTCTGCTATGTTAATGTTGTACTCTCTTGCCTCCTTTATTCAGTTGTTTTACTTTGCTTCCTGATTATCAATCTAAAACTAATTCTTGATTCCCCTGAACTACTTACTCTTTATTCTGGAATTAATTAGTAAAGTCAGGTCTGAAATACTGGAATTTAAAGTCTATGAATTAACCAATGCCAAACTGAAACTCAAAGTAATATAAAAATAGATAATCTTAAATCCATCAAAGTTCAACTCATTGACCCTTCCCTCCCTAGATGTTCTTTTTACTTAACAGTTTCAGTACCATCTAATCTAACCCCCTAAAATTGACCTGATTGAAAACCCTAGCCCAGTTTTTTTTTTCACTTTTCCCTTTCCCTTTTGAATTTCTTGAAGCTTACTCCCTTAGACTGCAAAGCCCTACTACACAGGAAAAATGATGAGGGATTTTTTACCCTTTGCAAAAAACATGAAGATAATGTCAAGAAATACACCATTGCAAGGCACAAACTGGTGAAAAGAAGCTTGTATATGGAAGAGAAACACAGGTATGAAAAAGCTCAAAATAGCTGTGTGTGCCATGAAAACAACCAAGTAATCAACCAGTCCAACATTTAGCAGATGTATTTATACTGAAATAGACGCTCTAAAGATGTTGGAATTTGATCCACMTATGTTGTCTATGACAGACATTTTCTACATGATTAACAGTAAAAGTTGCTCCCCAATTTGAGATGGAGTAAACCAAATGGGGAGCAGAAGGTAGTGATCCTCAAGAGACAATGGGAAGTTGGAGTATATAAAATATTTGGAAACGTATACAAACAGCAACTTGAACTGCGGAGTCAAATTTGAAAGATGAGATCTGTGACTCGTACATCCTATCATCGGCAGGAAAAAACCCTCTTGATATATATCCTCTGGTAGCTCATCCAAACTAATAATCCAGGTTCTGATATAAGGGGAACAAACTCAATTCTAACTAAACCACCCGTAAGAATAAGGGTTAAGAATGCTAGAAAGAGAACCCATGATTGTCCTTTAACATTATGGTCTCAGATTTCGTTAGAAGCATATATAAAAGCTTAGCTTGAAATTATAGTTATCGACACATTTTGAGCTAAGCAGAACCATAACCTAATCCACATGATGTGTTTCAATTCCGACTAATTTCAGACACCTCACGTAGCCATATAAAATAGGGAGTGATAGGAAGAGAAAAAGCGCTCTAAAATAGGGATTATCAGAGGGAGAGATAGCTTGGGGAAATAGTTAGTTATACCAGTTCGTGTAGATGGATCTATTCAAAACGAAAAAAGAAAATAGTCGGTAGTCTGCTTCCTTCGCCAATACCAGCAGCAACTCTGTAACATACAAAGAAAGAAAATAGAAATTTAAGGTTGCAACGTTCTGATCAAAGAAACCAATGAACAAATTTAACCCCCATCCGCACCCCCCCCCCGAAAAAGAAAAACGAAAAAAAAAAGAAAGCTGGCTCGAAAGCCTGGACCTTGTGTAAGTTTCGTCCTGTGTGTGCCGCCGTTCCAGACCTCAACAGAGGTAGAGGGACTGAGGGGGCTCGTCGGCTGAGAAACGGGAAAGAAATGATCTTTCTCTCCTCGATTTCTCCAACGATCAGAACGCACTGATTTACTATTAAACCCTTTTTGTTTGATCACGGGCGGGCATCGGTGCATGCATTGGTGTATAAAATGGGGTTTTGTATATTTTGAATGTTTATACACCCGACTCTCTAAGATCTTATAGCCTTTCTGAATAAATAAAAAAAAAACAGCATTTATGCCTCGTTCCGTTTGGATAAATGACTTATTTAGAAAAATGTACTTGTTTGAAAGTATTTTTTGAAAAATATTTATTCCGATAATAACATTTATATATTTTTTTATTCTACGAGTAAAGTAAAGGAGTATAGTGTCCGATTTATCCAAAAAAGTGACCTTATTAAAAGAACAATATTTTCCCATCAGGTATTAGAAATTTTTTATACACAAGTAAGATTCCATTTGGCAACATTCTCGGGAACATATTTCTCTTGTTTCTAACATTCCCACATAATAGAAACACATTTGGGAAAAAAAAAAAAAGAAGAGAAGTTGAGAACATCCGAAATTCGTGTTATTTAGGAGTGACAAAATTGACACTCTCATCTCTTACACTACACCTTACTAAATAATAATACTTGTCCTTGATATCATTGCTTTGAATTGTAGCAATATCTTTCCCTAACTTGATGCCATCTATCCAAGACAAACCCTTTATACTAAAAACATTCTCTTTTGACTAGCCTAGAATGAGTTAGGAGAACTCAAGATACCATTGGAGACATAAAAGAGTAAGAAAAAAAAAAATGAGAGAATAAGAAGAAGAAAATGAGTGAAATAATAAGATGAATAATAAAGGAAAGAAAACCAATAAAATAAAACAATCAAGACAAACAAATTTAAAATCAGCTATACTTTTGCCCCTTGTATGATGAAAACATTTGCTTTCTTGACATTTACACCAAAAGAAATTAAAAGAGGCAAAACACAAAGTCTACACCGAACAAACACAACGTTTTTTGTTTCATTTTGTTCTCTTTATAGTCCAATACATTCATGTAATGAGGTTGGGATGGCTGGTTCTATTTATAATCCAACATGTTCAAGTCGGGTAGTATGTAAAAATTTTACTAGATCAGTATTTAACAAAAGGCATGACCTTAGCAAGCTTGATTAGTTATGCTTTTTAATGAATAACTGAAACATTTCATTAAAACTGAAATACCTATAAGTCCCAACCTCTCCACATTCAGCTTTTTAATGAATAACAAAAGGCACTTGATTAGTTATGCTTTTTAATAGAAATTTGGGAACCGAAAGATAATAAACAAAACTAAAAGGTAAAAATATGATGTAGCAATAATACACAGATAAGGAACGAAAAGTGTTGAGGTAGAAAGAAAGAGAAAGACACAACTCCCCCCCCCCCCTCTCTCTCTCTCTTTTATATATATATATATATATCACAATCTCCTTTTTTTTTTTGTTTTCTTAGTTAAAGACTGAAATTCTTTAGTATTCCTTGAATCACAACATGTGGCAGAAATCACAATCTCCCCCTTTTTTGTTTTCTCAATTAAAGGCTGAGATTCTTTAGAATTCCTTGAATCACAAAGTAGAGTTTTTTAGGTTTCAGTATAATACGAGTTCAGGCAGGACCCACAGATTTCTACTCATTCACATTCATGGTAAGTAGTTAGCTAGGAACTAACAGACCTGATTTTCTTTTCTTCTACCACGAGCTTTAAGTCGATTTGAAGGAGAGTGCATTCATATTCAAATTTATCTGCTTTTCTTGGAATTCTTGTATGTAGGAGTACATTCCTCATTTAAGAATGGAAGATTATTGACAGTACCCTTTTCTAAAATTACTTAGAAAAGGGTAAGGCATTTAGAAAATTTTAAATAGTTAGATGAGATTTTTTTYTAAAATTAACTGACTGAATATTAACAGAGGGGGGTTTTTGTCTAACAGCCAAAGTTCAGGAGGGGTATTTGTCGCAAAAGACTGACCCCATAGCACAGGAGGGGTTCTTGTAATTTACCTTTTTTTTAATCTTGAAATTTTGAAAGTTTCAGACAAATCTATGGTTGCAAAACAAGCAAATGCAGTGAAGGGTTCAAATGAACTAGACTCTTACGGCAAGTCCGTCCAAATTTCAAATCTGTTAACTAGAACCTAGGAACATTAATAACGTTCACTCTTTCTGTTAAGTATGGTGTCCCAAAGAAATCATTGTACAGTAGAAGCATCTGGAGCATCCTTCCTTTCATTTTGCAGAACTGTCCTGTTCATGGTAAGTATACTACTAAGATGGAAGGTACAAGTATTGTTGGCATGACCATTGTCATCATCATTTGTTACGTTTTCATGGCATGACCATTGCTGTCAAAGAACCCATCTCAATGAAGTTGGATATAACAAGATTAAAAATCTTATCTATGTGATAAAGAGAATCAATCTTAGTAGCTCCAGGTCCACTAGCTTAACCAATCTAATACAGACTTGACTTCCTTCAGCCCACAAAGAACAAAAAATACTCGGTTGATAGACTCCATTTTACATAACTGTAACTCTAGATTGAAGAATAGAGTATGTTGTAAAGAAACTCTGCTAGAAAATATATATATATATATATATATATATATATATATATCAAATCAATCTTTCTTCTTTGATGTAAGGTGGGAAATGTAGCAAGACAAATAATCCCAATTGGTTTCATGAAGTTAACTTTCATTTCATAAGTTGTAGTAATGTTTTCAAGAATGAAAGCAAATTAAAATTTGTATGGGATGATAACAATTGTCTCAATTTTCCTTGAGAGGATGGGGCTTACAAAGTCCGAGTAAGTGCTTGGTATGTAGTCGTTTCCTCAAGTTCAGGTACAAACGTTGCATGAAGAAATGATCACGATATCAAACAACCACCAAACGTTCTTGTAAATTTCACCCAACTTTAGTGGGGGTGTTCTTCTTTTGGATTTTGGGAGGGGGGAAGTTGGTCAATGGGATTTTGGTTCCCATTAATCAAGAATCCTATGTTCTTTTTCATATTTATGTGGGGACTAAGGAAAGTTTATTTTCCTATATATCATTTACCCAGGTAAGTGATACCTATCTCCTAAGTGGGCAAATAACTTTTCCACCTAGGGGAAAAGTTGGCAACACTTGAATGGGACAAAAATGCCCATTTTAATAGTGGATTTTTATAGCTAAAATGGTCATTGCCTTATTTACCTCRGAAATAAAAGAACATGGGTGAATGCACTTCCCTTGGCAAGTGTTTCATAGGAAAAATTTACCTAGGTAATTGCATTTACCCAGGTAAGTAACTTACCGAAAAACAAAGGAGGCCTTAGGAGTAATATGACAATGCTTGATATGCTTGAACAAAAAACTTATTGTTTCATCATTAAGCAAACACAAAACAATTAAATCAAACATTAAAATATATATTCATGGGTAAGTGAAAAACCAAGATGAACATGGAAAAATAAATAAACAAACATTAGAATACCCATCAAATTTTGTGGAGTGCATCTCCCTTTAGGAGAAGACTAAGACATAAAGAAAGATGATAACTTGTTTTATGTACGGATAAAATCTTGAAAATCATTAAGTAATAAGGTTTCCAAAAATAATTATATGCAATAATCAGTACGAAAAATTCAAAAAAGAAGACAAACAGATAAGACACAACTGAGGGAAGGGGAGCCAAAGATTAAAAATTTCAAGACACACTAGTACGAATCTAATCCCAACATGGTTTCGTTCCTCACACCCCTTGTTGGGAGGATGCACAAAACATAGTAGAAAGAAGTGTGGTCGTTCTTCGAAAAAGAAGACATACTTGTGTTACTACTCGAAAAAAACAGACGTTGGAGAAGACTTGTTGCAGCGTTCACCCTGTAAATGACACTGGTAGGGAGGAAAGCGAGTGAGAGATAAAACAATAGATTCTGTATACTAAGAAAAATGGCAAAAAAAAAAAAAAACGTTTTGCCTTGGTCACTAGTTTTTTGTCATCGTTCACCATTAACAATAAGCAAACCATAGTTTTCACTGAAGTCCTTGATCGTTCACCGTCAATTCAACGTTCACTGGCCCCTATGTTGTGCAAGTCAGAGGAAAGCCATTAGAGGTGAAGTTTATTTGGTTAGGAAAAATGTCTAAAATGCACACGTATACATAAATTTGAAGGATGATGTAGGAACCACACAATGTCCATTTTTGTCACTCCTAGAGAACACGGATTTTGGACGTTGTTCTCACTGTAGAACGGTTGTACCGGTCCCAAGTTTATACTTGAAATCTATAATTATCTACGATAAAAGCAACTTAAACCTTGAGTTTTGATGATATGACCTTAACAAAAATGATTAAGGTTAAGATAGAATCCCGTGTAGGTTAGTTTTCTTTGTTTTTCGAATTTGTTGGTTGCTTTTCTCTTTGTTCGGGGTTGGCATGAGATGGTAGGCTTTGTGTTTTGTATATTGGTTTTGGGTAAGGTAGGCTATGTCCTCCCTTGTATTATGTTTTTCCCTTTTGATGATGGCTAATAAAATTTTAAGATGATTTCTCCTCCACCTCAAGTAAATTTAGTCCATGTTTGGGAAGGCTTATTTAATAAGTGCTTAAAACAAGTGCTTTTATTCGAATAAGAACTTATTTGCATTTGGCACCCAATTTTTTACAAGTGTAAAATATTGGGTGTTTGGTGGTCTTTTTCTATAATAAGCATTTATTTGTTCAAAAAGACAACTTTAACCCTTGTTTAGTAATTGGGATGCTTTTTGTTGGTACTTGTGAAGGAAATGGATGAAGTGTGAAGCATTGAGGATACCGCACAACGTGGTAGCCATAAGAGGTTGAGAAGGTCGAGTGTTGCTACATATGAAGGATTCTAAGGAGTAGACTTCAAGCAGTGAAAATTATGTTGTAGACCCACATGCTAGTCCTAGTATTGTTGATATTGTTGTGGGCCTTGTGGCAGTGGTTGTTCATGTCGGTAACTCATATTGTGCATATCTTGCTCCTTGACATTTTAGTTGTGCTACTCAAACAATGTTTCAGTGGGATCATGGAGTATGTTTTGCACCAATTGGTTGTTAAGTTCGTGTTCCATTTTGAAKCCGAGTTGTTGTTGGAGGTCAATCCCCATAGAAAC